CCGCAATATTGTTATAATTAATTGTAGCCGTGATTTGTAGGTTGCTAAATATACCAATTAACGATCTCTGCAGCGTATTCAGTAACGAAACATGTTACAATATATATCATGGTGAAAAATATTTTAAACAAATGTTGCAGAGAAGAATGAAACCCTGCAGTGAATGTCTGTTCATTACTTGCAGGTGCTGCGAGATGCAGTCCTGGAGAACCAAACTGAGGCAAGCTTTGTTACTTGTGCAGAACCCAAGGCAATTGCAACACATCACCTGGACGAGTTGTCTCGCCAGATGTGCCCACATCTCCGCCATTTTGTGGTGTTCTCCAGTGTATCCTGCGGGCGTGGTAATGCAGGACAAACGAACTACGGCATGAGCAACTCAATCATGGAGCGCATCTGTGAGGCCCGCATCAGAGATGGGTTGCCAGGCCTTGCTGTGCAGTGGGGTTTAGTGGGGGATGTGGGACTGGTGGCAGCGGTGCAGGAGAACCAGAAATACGTAAAGACCGGTCAGTTATGCTCTAAAATCAGCATTATACACCTGGGTCAGGCTTTGTGTTCACAGACCATAGATGTGTGGCTCAGAATTAATATTAACATGTTCTGAGGTCTCTCATTTGTTTTCTACTTGACAAGCAGAAATACCGATTCTTCACCCTGAGTATGCTTGCTTTTATTGCCAAATTGCAAGTTACTTTGGCTATTTTTAAGCTTTAAGGAAAGGATAACACCCAATTTAAGAAACAAAATTGTACTCCTTTAAATATAAGAGTAAAGATTTGGAATGAGGATTTAAATCACATCCAAGAATTTTACTGCAATGCTTGCACATTGCTTAAACAGCTGTGGCTGCCATACATATGGACAGGAGTATGGAGGAAATTTCATATCTATGGGCTTTCTGTATAAGGTGTGCAATAAGAAAGAGAAATCAGGAAATTTACATTTTTATATCTGTTAAATGTCAGCTTTGGTGCTGGATGTCATAGTAACCAGTGTTACTAAGAGATTATACCTTCAGCATGATTTCGCATATGCCATACATTAGATACTTGAAATGCTTTTTTGTGGTTCACATACTCTGTACATCCTAATGCAAGCTTAGTTTCCCTACAGTTAACTGAGGAATGAAATGTTCTGTTGAGCCTGGGTTTGTGTCAAGCTATTATGAAACAAATAAACTGTTACTTTATATGTCAATGACCTTAGTTGTCATGGAGCTGATGACTCAGACCCTGTTCTGAACATCTGACATCCCAGCAGGTCTTCAACTAATAATGTGCTTATGGAGTTTGAAATTAGCAAAGTTCAAAGCTTCAGACAAGTATACTGTGTGGTGATGTAGTCTGAATGATGATTACACCCAATTAGTCACTCCTGGAACACAAGCTCCTGAACTCATTGAATTACCAAAATAGAGTGTAAGTGATGGTGATGAACAAAGGACCCATGATACATGAGCATGGCATAGAAATGGGAAGCGTCAGTGAAGTTTGTGTGGCAAGATATCAGCAGGCAACCTGCAGTATGGGAAACATTTTATAGCATTTCACTGACGGCAGTTTGACATATCCACTTTGGACATAACGGATGTATTTGAAAACATCTGTTGCACAGTTATTATGCACCCAGTATTAAGTGAAATGAACAAATTATGAAGTTATCTCAAAAACATAATTAGTAGTTATGAAGGTTTAAAAGCGGCCTCCATAGTCTAGGGGTAACGTTCCCACCTTGTGACTCAAGGTACGCGGGTTCAAACCCAGCGGAGGTCATGGAATTTTTAAGGGCGGAAAAATTCAGGGAACAAGTCCTCCGGGAGGGACTTTAAGCCATGGGTCCCATGTTGTAGCTTTACAGCACGTAAAAGAACCTCATGTCTCCAAAGGAGGCCACTGAGCAAAATTACGGATGTTTCCCACCCAACAGTAGTCTCTAACACCTCTCGTAGGTGGGGGAAGCATTAAAGATACCGCTCAGCTAGTAGAGGCTGATCTCGCTGGCTGGGCGGGACTGATGGTAAGCACCAATACTGGTAGGATATAGAGACTGGTAGAATATCATAGAGGGAAGCACAGTGGACCAAGACAGGTCTAAGTGCATGGGGAAACCCACCCACTCCAATAACTAACTAACTATGAAGGTTTAAACATTTCAGTGCAAAAATTAAAGGCACATACAAACAATTCTACTGCAGTACAGCAATAAGTACAATATTTAAATGTACACATTAAAGAGTTAAGTGACATTTAAATACATTTTTTGCTGATATGTTTGATTTACAAAGCTTCCTGCTGGGACACATGCAGCCAGTAATCACTTCCCTGATGCTCTGTGGTTATTCAGCCCAGCTCATGATGTGTTTGTATAATCAGTATGACTGTTCATTTATGGTCCAGCAGATGTCCAAACTCTGAGCAAAAATATACTATGGCTGATTCGCTCAAAGCAAGAATTGTGGAATCACAACAGATGGCTCTTAACTAGACAGTGGCTTGTACACAATACCAGTGGAATGGTGTTTTCTGCACAGACCATACTGATGGCAGTGCATACAACATTGGCATAGGATGTGCAACTAAGCAACAATCACACCCAAACAGAGGAATGGTGTTTTATACACGGCCCACGTCGAGATGTTATAAGCAGAACCATTTGGCTGTCGCATTTAGTTAGTGGACTGCTGGGGCTCAGTTATTTTGAGCTGTTGCTCTTATAAGCTGCTAGCTGAGGCTGGGGACAGTTCAGAAACCCAGAAGAAGGGAACCTCTGCTGTTGGAAACTGCTATCAAACAACAGCAGTGAAGATGTGACTGTGGACATTAGTGCACGTGTGTTTAATAGTAATGTGTAGTCACATGTCATATCAAAAGTGTGCCATAAATCGAGTCATCAATCCAAAACCCATCAAGTCACACTCCATCATCTGATGACATGTATGGAAAACAGTTCCTGTCTCAATTTGCTACGTCAGTCACAGTTCTTTTGTGTATGTGAAACTCTTGAGCAGGTGCGAGGGACAGTCCCAGTCTTGCCTACTGTTCAGCAGTTTCATTGCCCTCAATAGCCCTATAACTCGGCAACCATATCAGTTGAACTCTATTGTGTTCAGACAGTTTTATGAGGGATCGATGGCATTCCAAAACCAGTTTTGAGTTTATCTAGTAATCAAGTGCTTTAATTGTAGTTTGACTACCTGTCAGAATATGGATGTATCTGTTTATACAACTTATTTATTGGACCGTCACAACACAGCAATAAAAGAACTTCAAGGACAATGCCCAGATATAGTTCTGCTACATGTTTCGGCCACTAGTGGCCATCATCAGGCAAACACACTTCAGCAAACGTACACCACTGAACTGCAGTACGCAAAATTTGATACAATGTCATAAATCATTTAAGATAATTTGCAATAAGAATACAATAAGTAGGCTATTTA